CCATTGCCTGGTTCCAAAACCACTCCTATATTTTAGGTAGTTATGATAGCACCTCAATTCCAGGTATCAAAATCTGTATTTGTTATCTATGGTGCAAGACAAAGTATCCCAAAATTTAGTGCTTCAAAACAACATTTATTTTAATCTCAGTTTCTGTGGGTCACGAATTTGAGCATGGCTTAGATGGCTGCCTCTGGCACAGGATCTCTCACAAGGCTGCAGTCACCTAAAGGCTCAACTGGGAGAGGCTCCCTTCTAAGCTCCTTTATGTGGCTGTTGGCAGTCCTCAGGTTCTCACTGGTAGTTGGTGAAAGACATTAGTTCCTTGGGTACATGAGCCCCTTTACAGGGGAACTGTAGCAGATTGAATAGTATTAATATATCACCCCAAAATTTGTGTTCACATAGAAGCTCAGAATGTGACCTTAGTTGGAAATAGGATCTTTGCAGGTATAATTAAGATGAGATCATATTAGATTATGGTGGGTCCTAAATCCAATGACTGGTGTCCTTATAAGAGAAGAGGACACAAAGAGACATAGAGAAGGCCATGTGAAGACAGGTAGAGACTGGAATGATGTAGCTACAAGCCAAAGAATGCCAAGGATTGCCTAGAGCCACAAGAGGGAGTCCTCCCTGTAGCCTTCAGAGGGAGCATGGCTCTGCTGACACCTTGATTTCAGACTTCTAGCCTATGGAAGTGAGAGAAAATAAATTTCTGCTGTTTTAAGCCACTCAGTTTGTGACAATTTGTTACAACAGCCCTAGGAAACTAATAAAGCAGCTCATAAGTCAACGGGTTTTCCTCAGAGCAAATGAGTAAAAAAGTGAGAGAGGGCACCCAAGATGGAAGCAAGTCTTTCTGTAACCTAATTTTTTTTTTTTTTTGAGACAGGGTCTCACTCTGTCACCCAGGCCATAGTACAGTGGCATCATCATGGCTCACTGCAACCTCAAACTCCCGGCTCAAGCAATCCACCTGCTCTGGCCTTGCAAAATGCTAAGATTACAAGTGTAAACCACTGCTCCAGGTCTGTAATCTAATCTTGAACATGACATCCTATCATCAGAAGCAAGCCACTAGATCCAGCCCACAGGCAGGGGGAGGGGATAACACAAGATCACAAATACCAGGAGGTGAGCATTGTTGAAGGCTACCTTAGAGGCTGCCCACTATGGCCGCCTTACCAGCAAAAACTGTAGGAACTTCACTAGAAGAAATCTCTCCTTCCTCAGAGCTCTACCTTCTCCATTTATTGATTCCTTGAACAAATATTTATTAAGTACCCATAATGAGCTGAGTGTTGGAGATATGACCAATAAGACAGATAAGATTCTTTCCCTTGTTGAGATTATTTAGTCTAGTGGGGGAGGACATTAAATAATAAAAAATAAATGAACACATAAAAATTGTGGTAAGTACAAGGAAATTATGAGATTATAAAAACATCTTTAGATTGGGAAAGAAGTGCAAGGGTTAGGCATGTCTTTCTGAAAACACAGCATTTTTTGGAGGGGTGGCGAGACAGTATATTGTTTTGTTGCCTGGGCTAGAGTGCAGTGGCATGATTATAGCTCACTGTAACCTCAAACCCCTGATCTCAAGCAATTCTCCTGCCTCAGCCTCCCAAGCAGCTGGATCTACAAGCATATGCTACTGCACCCAGCTAATTTTTTGTATTTTTTGTAGAGCCGGTGTCTCACTTGTTGCTCAGGCTGGTCTCGAACTCTTGAGCTCAAGCAATCCTCTTGTTTCGGCCTCCCAAAGTGCTAGGATTACTAGTGTGAGCCACCATACCTGGCCTGAAAACACAGTATTAAGGACGAGGTTGAAGATGAATAGAAATTAGGCTGTGTGTGTGTGTGTTGGGAGGGGAGAGTAAGTTTCTAGGTAGAGGGAAAGCATGTAAAAATATATTAATAAGTTGAGCAGTTAGACTCAGAGCTGCCTGAGAGCAGAAACCTTGTCTTTTCCTCCTCTGTAATATGTAGCACAATGGCTGGCATAGATAGGAACTTGATAAATTCTTACTGAATGAATGAGTGAATTCAAGGTGCCTTCTATTTCCTAACTGTTATGGATAATGTCATTTAGAAATTTTCTCCCAAAGTTCACTGCTGGATCACTGTTCTTATTCCTATTAGGTAGCGTAGGCAAACAAAAAGGCTCAAATAAAGTAAAAGCTCAATACAAGAGAAGTTTATTTATTTTTGCTTATTTAACAGTCCGGAGTAGATATTTAGATAGATGGGACACAGTTCTCCTCCACCCTGAGATCTTCCATCTTCAGGCTGTGCCTTCAACAGATTCTGGTCATCACCTACTTCCAGCTGACAGATAAGTGTACTGAGGTACAGAATATTAAGGCCTGCTTGGGGTCATATAAATTCATGAGGTTCAAGGTATGCACCCATTCCCTAGAGAAGCCGGTCACTTCTTGAGGGAATGGGAATTGATAGCTCTGAGCTATATGCATGGGAATGTTTATCCTAGACTGCCTGGGAATGTTTATCCTACGCTGCCTGGGAGTGCTCATCCAAGACTCATGCCCAGGGTTGTTATGAGAAAACAGTCACCTGCAGGCCCTGGTTCCTGGCCAGATCTGGGACCGTATGTGACCAGAGCATACGCCTTTTTGGCACTGAGCCTTCTTTGTTTAGACCACTATATAAACAGTAAAAGAAAGTCTCTGAGCTGCTTCTCTGCTGCCACCATTCTTCTATTTAACATCTCGACGTGCAGCTGCCTGCCTGCTTGATATCCCAGTGTGTTGTTGCCTTCGCCACTGCCTGAGACTTGCCCGTGATGGCTAACTCTGGTGCTGGTGCTGTGACTTCCCCGTGATGGTTAATTCCAGTGCTGATAATAGGATCCTAGTGGTATGATTACTCCTTTATGTTCTTCTCCTGCTGTGCTATGTAAATAAGTTTCCTTTATTTTCCCTTTTTCTCTTCACCCTTAATAAATATAAATATAACTAAAACTGCTGTGGCTTGTGGTGGTGGGTCCTGTGGATGGAGCTTGAATTGCAAAAGTCTGTGCACAGCGATTGATAAAATTAATTATCAATACAGTAAGGCATAGAAGAGCACCTGTTAGAGGTTTTTATGGGCCAGGTCTGGAACCTGTGTACACCTTTTCTGCTTTTTCATTGGGGAGAGCATAGACACATGGCCACATATACTTTAAGGTAGCTGAGGAATGTAGTATAGGTGTAAGGCCAAGAGAGAATAATAATTTTGGTGGACAACTAACTCTTCACCACAATATTCAATTACTTACTTGACTTATCCTCTGGTGTGTCTCAAATTAATCTAGAGAGAAAAGAACTCTGGATCTCCCACCCTCACCCCAATCAAGTCTTTCATTCACTGAATGGCATCATCATCCATCCAACTGCTTAAGCAAACACATCAAAGATATCTTTGATCCATTTCTTATTCTCACATTCCACATCTAATCCTTCGGGAAGTTCTGTCAATGCTACTTCCAAAACATGTGCTCAAACCATCTTCTCTTTCCATCTTTGCTGCCAGCTCCTTAGTTCAAACATCACAATAATCTCTTACCTGGATTATTCCAATAGCCTCCTAATAGCTCTGTTTCCAATCTTGCTTGCCTACATTCCATTCTCTATATGGCAGAGTGATCTTCTAAAACATAATTTTGATCACATTGCTCTTTAGTTTAAAACTTTTCAATAGCTTAGAAAAAATCCAAAGCACTTACTATGACCCCCAACATCCATATATATAATGCACCCCTGTCCACCTCTCCTACCTCATCCTTTATCACTCTCCTACTCACTCTACTACAGCTACGATGATCTTCTTGCTGATTCTTCAACACACTTAGCTTATTTTCACCTTGAAACTTTTGCACTTGCTGTTCCATCTGCCCATAAATCTCTTCCTTGGATTTCCAATAGCCAGCTCCTTCTCAAATTCCTCAGGGATCTCAGCTTAAATGTTATTTCCTGAGATACCTCCTCTGACATCTGGTACGAAGCAGTCCTCAAATCCAGTTATTTTCTCACCTCAGCATCCTGTTTATTTTCTTCTTAGCATCATACACTGCATTTTTTCCTGCTTATTATCAGCTTCATTTTCCTGAAAGATCCATGAGCAGGTACCGCGTCTTGTTCCTACTGTTTTCCCAGCATCTAGTAGGTCTGACACATGGTAGTGTGCAGTAAATAAGTGAAAGAAGAACCATCAAAAGGTGATTAACCAAAAGCTCCTGTAAGGTCCTTTGATATGTAATTGGCGTAGTGTAAGAAGCCCAAACCTGGCTTCCAATTTTAGCTTTACTACTACTTAGCTGTGCGCAAGCGAGTTCAGCATTCTTGAGCCTCAGTTACCTGATCTGTATATAGGGAATAAGTACATACTTACCTTAGAACGTTAAATCCCTACCTTCTAAAGATGAAAGGAGGTAATGGAGGAAAAGAGCTTCGTGTAAGGTTTACACTCCATAGAGTTGTTATCGATATTATATATTACACACAATTCTGTTTCCTTATGGCAGGAACCGCTCGGTGCCACAGTTCCCTCTTCTCTACCCAGGGTCGGTCACCACAAGTACTCACTGCAGGGCATAGGTAAAGCATGAGGCTCCCACGCACGCGCAGCCTCACGTGTCCACTGGCGACCGCCAATGGCCCTGCCCCGTCGAGCCCGACCCCATTGCGTCATTAGTGCAGCGCCGGGGTAGCAGAAGGCCCCGGGTGCCTGTCCTGTGCGCAGCGCGCCTTGGGGAGGCCCAGGCGGGCGCCTGCAAGTCAGGTCCGCAGCTTCGGGCGGCTCAGAAACCCCAGCGGAAGCCCGCGAGGGGCGTGTGGAGCCGTGAGGTCAAGGGGCCGGGCGGCAGGAGGGGCGGCCCGGAGCCCCAGCGGGGCAAAGCGCAGGCAGGCGGCCGGCCGGCGGGGCTGCCCGGCGCGGGTGTTCCGGCGATGTGTGGCGCTGAAGCGGCGGCGGCGGGAGCAGCGGCGGCGGCGGCGGCGGCAGGCTCGGCTTCGCGGCGGTGCCGGCGGCGGAGGCGGAGGCGCAGGCTCTTCCTGGGGTCCTGGCGAGCCCGAGCCTAAGCGGCGGCCCTGCAAGGTCCCTGCACAGCGCCCCGATCCGGGGCCCTCCCCGTCCGGCCCTGCCCCGAGAGCTTTCCTCCCCGGCCGGGAATGAGGCTGGGAGGCGGCCGCGCTGGGCTCAGCACAAAGGCTTGTCCTCAGGGGCCGCCGCCTCCGCTGCCTCCGCTGCCTCTGCTGCCGCCCGCCTAGAACCACCCGCCGAAGCTGAACCGGCGCCAGAGCCCTCGTCCCCGCCGGTCCCCAGGGGAGGCTGCTGCTGCCCGTCCCCTCGAGGCCCAGAGGCCCTAGCTCCGAGCCCTTTGCTCTCTCGGCAGCGGGGGGACCGGGCAGCCGCGCAGCCTTTGCCGCTCCCGGCTTTGGGGGCACTGCGGAGCATGTCCGAGGAGAGTGACATGGAGAAAGCCATCAAGGTAAGGAGGTGCTCCCTCTTCCCCTGCTTTGTCCTGTGGCATTCCTCACCGCTCTAGCTTCAGAAAGCAGGGACAATATGGGTGATAGGTTCGAGTTGGCCAATTAATTTGTTTCTATTTATAGTAGAGACAGGGTCTTGCTCTTACTCAGGCTGGTTTCCAACTCCTGACCTCGAGCAATCCACCCGCCTCGGCCTCCCAGAGTGCTAGGATTACAGGCGTGAGCCACCATGCCTGGCCTCTAAGCTTGTTTTATACACTTGCACATCCACTGAACAGAAGCTCTGTTTTTATCTCTGAACTTAGCCTGGTGTCTGGCACATACTAACTGCTTAATGAGTGTGTATTACATGAGCAATTACATGAGTAACTATTCCCCTATGCTAATAATCAGAATTCTAGTGCTAAACAAATCAATTTGAAAGTTTCACAGATTTTGGCCTGATTTCTTTCTTTCTTTCTTTCTGTAAGGTCTGTAGTTGCTTTCCTATTTTACCTGTGGAACTTTGCAAAAAATGAATGACTATCACAATTTAAACATGACTTTCTTTTTTTTTTTAAGACAGAGTCTCGCTTTGTTGCCCTGGCTAGAGTGAGTGCCGTGGCGTCAGCCAGGCTCACAGCAACCTCAATCTCCTGGGCTCAAGCAGTCCTTCTGCCTCAGCCTCCCAAGTAGCTGGGACTACAGGCATGCGCCACCATGCCCTGCTAATTTTTTCTATATATTAGTTGGCCAATTAATTTCTTTCTATTTATAGTATAGACAGGGTCTTGCTCTTGCTCTGGCTGGTTTCAAATTCCTGACCCTCGAGCAATACACCCGCCTCAGCCTCCCAGAGTGCTAGGATTATAGGTGTGAGCCACCGTGCCAGGCCTAAACATGACTTTCTTATCTAAAAAAAAAAAAAAAGTATATAGCAACAGAAGCTCGAAATGCAGTGATGCTAGAAATTCCATTAAAACTTTCATTAACCACTTCAGTACGAGCATCTACTATAGTGGACAGCCACAGATGGACCCGCACAGCCCAGCATCAACTATAGTCGACAGCCACAGATGAGCACGCACAGCGACTTTAGCTGACAGCCGTGATATGACTTTTCTGATTTTTCATTTATCAAAATAAAATTGTGAACATTTAAAAATAATGTAATGAAAACATACATGTATATGTTACCTATTCTGATTTACATTACAAATAAAGCTGCCTGTAAAGTAAAACAAGCTTTCAGTACTTTAAAG